TTTTATTGGTTGAAAATGAAGATAGAGCTCATTATGTTTGGATAAAAAATATTTCAAAGCTTATTCGTTCACAATTAACAAGGCATGGTCATGGTTTATACTTGTGTAATACATGCTTACAATATTTTCACAATGAATTTTCATATAATATTCATAAAAAAGAATGTTCTAAAATTGTTACGATAATGCCTACTGAGGAAAAGAAATGGATAAAGTTAACAAAATATGAAAGGAAAATTGATGTACCTTTTACCGTTTATGCTGATTTTGAATGTTTACTTCAAGATATATCTACATGTCATCCTGAAGAAACCAAATCATCAACAACTGACATACAAGAACATATTCCATGTGCATTCGCATACAATATAAAGTGTTCCTATAACCAAAACTTGGATTTATTTAGAATGTACACAGGTGAGAATTGTAGTGATATTTTTATAGATAAATTAATTAAAGATGTTATTAATATTTCTTGTAAACACCTTAAAAAAGTGATATCAATGAAAATGTTAACTAATTTAGAAAAAAAATATCAATTGGAAAGTAAAATATGTCATATTTGTGAATTAAATTTAGGTGAAGATAGAGTTGCTGACCACTGCCATTTAACCGGTCTATACCGTGGACCTGCTCATAAAGCATGTAATTTGAATTATTCACACGCTAATTTCATTCCTGTTTTTTTTCACAATTTTTCGGGGTACGATTGCCATTTATTAATTAAATCGTTATCAAATTATTCAGATCGAATAAGTTTGTTACCAATTAATAAAGAAAATTACATTTCTGTTTCGAAATATATTAAAAATGATGAAGAAAACGTAATTGAAATAAGATTTTTAGATTCTTTTAGATTTATGGCTTTCAGTATTGATAACTTAGCTCGTAATTTATCAGATGATAATCTAATCAGTACTAAGAATATGTGTATAGATGATGAGAATTAAAAGCTTTTAAGACGAAAAGGCGTATTTCCTTATGAGTTTTTAAATTCATGGGAAAAACTTAAATTTGAAACATTACCATCTCGTGAAAAATTTAATAGTTCATTATCTGATTATATTTGTTTTGAAGCGAATTATGAACATGCTAAGAAAGTTTGGAACAAGTTTAATTGTAAAAATCTTAAAAATTATCTAGAAATATATTTAAAAACTGATGTATTCTTGTTAACTGATATATTCGAAAATTTTCGTAAGCTTTGCAAGAACATATATTCTTTAGATCCCTGCCATTATTCAACTTTTATTTTTCCTCGCGTTTTTATTACTCATTTATTAAAGCAAAACTAATTTCAACAAGCAAATAAAAATAAAAAAGAAATCTTTTTTCTGGATTTTGAAAAACAATGCCCATAACCTTTTCGTTGAATGTTCTGTGATTTAATATTAGCCCATTTTTTAACATCAAATAGGTGGCAAAAACTTAGTATACTTATGTCTAAAAACTATTGTTTGTGGAAATAAATGGTAAATCATAAAACTCTAGGGTCTTTGCCAAGTAGATCTTTAAAAGCAAATATATTGCAAATTACTATTCCAATAAGAGATCGAACTTAATTAATGCACGATTTTATTTAGGTTCATATCAAAATAAGTGCAGTGAATAATTGCAGTAAATTGAAGCTCCTCATGGTTCTGTTTTTTATATATCACAATTCCGAAAGCGGAATAGATAAAACAGAACTGTTTATTATGTATTCTATAATATATTCCAATGATAATATAATAATGATTGCAGTTAAGGATAGTACCTATAAATCCTAAAAGCAAGACAATAATGCGTTACCAACTTCCGCAGGAATAAAAATAAATTTGAACCCATACATATTATGATATTTGAATGCGGACGTACATTTTTTTCTGTTTTAGTTTGCAAACAATGATAGCTATAGATTTATTTATGCTAAATCAATTTTGAGATGAACGTTGATTTTTTATGTGCGAATTCATCGCACAATGAATCAAAAAGTATGCATAGAAATCGGATGAAAAGCACGTTTCTATGACAATTCATATTGAAAAAATTGAAGGATTTTTTTTTTACGTCAAGATAACGAAACAGATTTAGCTTCCGAGATTTTTTGCTTTCCATTAGATCACTGCATTTTTTGTTGTTAGACAATATTAGGATGCGAAAATTTTTTATTGGTTTTTTTATTTTTAATGTATTAATTTCCTATTTTTCTAAATAAAAATTGAAAAACTTTTATTAAACCAAGAACATGAAAAAGAGATTAGAACGTTTTTTATTCAGCAAAAGTTCCAAAAAAAAAATATTAAATAGCGAAGGGAAAAATAAATTAGAAATCAGAATGAAAGAATTCCAGGGATGTTTATTCGTTAATTTATTCGTTTTTCAAAGATTTTACTGAATACCGAGTTCTACGGAAAATTCAGTGAATTTTGTAATTTTTCGGCTTAAATTCATTTCTACAATTAGTTATAACAATTTAGACTATTAAATGCATAATTTTCAACAATACCTGATCGTGTATCTCGCTTTTTTACTCACTTTTTATTGATTTTCAAATCAGAATTCGCAGTATGTTGTAATGGATATTTTCTTTTTCAAATAAGATTGCTCATTTTTTCAATTGGATTCTTGCATTTTTTCTCAAATTATCGACCGAACATCTTTATCGACTTCTGAAAACAAAGTGGTGAATAAATTTTGTATGTATTTTACTCACTCGAAAATTACATTTCACAAGTATGTGATAGTTACTCACTTTCTTCTTTCTTTCCGAGTACAATAACGAGGTAGACGACCAGGCCCTTAATATAGCTAATTTTTCTTAATAAAATACTTGATATTATAAGCAAGTATCTCATTCTTAATTTAAAACTCAATAAGATCGGACGTGTGTTTGTTCTTTATAACAAAAAATACATAATTAAAAATGTTTTTTAGTAAAAATTTTTTATTTCTTGTTTCATTGTCACATTGTTTAACTAAAGTTACCTTGGGACGTATTCACGTATTATATTTTATTTGCTGCCATTAACATTTCTTCAGTAATTTACATTTCGTTGTACCTACAATCATGAGTAACAAATGCAACATCACTTCTTGCACCGTTTATGACAACAAATCGAAAATGGTGAAGTGCAGAGCTTTTTGCGGGAGCCAAGTCCATGGATTGTGCATCGGGGCTGATAGGGATTGGTACCATCCCTATATGGATCAATTTTTCATATGTAAGGACTGCCAGGACGTTGAAGTACAATTAAGAACGCTTCATGACAGATTGCTCGCCAATCTTGTCAAAGCTAGACGACAACAAAAGAGGTCTAGCTCAAAAGTCACTTAGTGTAATAGACGCTAACTCCGCTAACTTCGTCGAGATGGCTAAGTCATTTGATAATGTTAACAGCTTATTATCAAGCCATGCAAATGCCTCTATTGAAAAACTGAGTGAGGTGAAAGAAAGCATTCTTCGCGGGGTTAGAGATAAGCTAAGCAATCTTAAAGATGTACTTACGATTGCAGTTGAAGAGAAGGTGAAAAATGTTAATTCCCAATCAACTGAGGTTCTAAAACAATCAATAAAAGACCTCCATGATGATAACGTAGTTCTAGCGAAGAGGGTGGACTCGCTATATGTGTATTTCAATGAGTCCCCTCAATCCAAGATCTACAAGAACAACTGGATAGCCTAAAGGAGTTGATGAGCGACCATAATAAAAGAAATGATGCCCAAGTTCCGACCATGAATACATTGAGTTTATTTGACGAGATTGCTAGTGTAAATCATGCCAATGTTACATTACAACCTAAACAAAAAGCATCCACTCCGAATGTGTCCACTACAACCGATACAGTGTTCAGACTTGGTACAAAGTGGTCTACACAGGATTGGGATTTTCATATCAATAAAATTAAGAACAATCATGACTCGTCGAGCAAATCACGGCACCAGAAATCATCGAGACGTTGGGCCAAGTGGAGTAGACGGTTGAAAGGAAGAACGCTCTGTGAAGATCAGCTGGTGAGCAATGATATAAGTAGCTATAAGAATAATAATAATAATAAGAATAATAATGATAATATAAATAATAAGAATAATAATAATAATAATAATAATAATAATAATAATAATAATAATAATATTAATAACGAAATATTTCAAATATCAGCAACGAAATATTTAAAAACAGCGTCAATAAGCTCCAAAATTGGAAATGTCCAGGTAACGATAAAATCCAAAACTTCTGGCTAAAACAATTAACATCACTGCATCCGTTAATGTTGAGCTATATAAACCAGTTTATTAACGACCCAGGTTCAACACCGGAAACTCTTTGTACAGGCCTCACATTCATGAAGCCGAAAAATGTAACAAACAGCGATCCGTTGAGTTTTAGACCAATTACGTGCTTAAATACGTTCTATAAATTAACAACAACGTGTATCACCCAAATGGTTGAGGAACACTATTCAAAAAACAATATAATCGCTGAAGAACAAAAAGGATGCCGCAAGGGTTCACTGGGATGCAAGGAACAGCTTACAATAGATGCGGTGGTCATGAAACAGGCAATTGACAAAAAACGCAATATCTATGGGGCGTATATCGACTACAGAAAAGCATTCGACATGGTACCGCATAGCTGGCTAATCGAAATCATGAAAATATATAAAATCAACGAAAATATCATCGGGTTCGTTAGTCACATAATGTCAAAATGGTCGACAGTTATAAAACTCCCTGGCAGTGAAAGAACATCGGAAAGAATACCTATTAAACGGGGTATTTTCCAAGGAGATAGTTTTAGTCCTCTGCTTTTCTGCTTGGCCCTTAATCCACTCTCTACACTGCTCAGCAACACAGGATATGGCTTCGAGATAAAGGGTTTAACACCAAATAAGGTAAAGTAAGGTAATTTCGTCATGGTTGTTAATTTCGTCATGTCTCGTGCTTTTTTTACATATTTGGAAAATATAAGAAAACACCATCTATTGCCAATAAATTTAAACCAGTTTTACTTTTAAATATACTTAAACTAAAAAAAAAACCCATCCCTTATTGAATTTGTCAAATGACAAATAAAAATATGTCACATTAAAAATTGACAAAAATTTGCGCGCGTAAATTTTTTAGTTTTCTTAGTGTTTCTGTTAAGCGGAGAACAACTTTTCTTAAGACTGGATCTACTGGAAGGTATGAAATTTCTTAAATTTTTAATATTGTTTTGACAAATTATACTTAAATAAACATTTAAGAAAAAAAAAAAATTCAAAAAGTGAAATATTTGAAAAAAAAAACTTAGTGACGAAATTAGAAACCAGACTTTATAGAAATAGATATTAATTCGTCAGAGTGACGAAATTAAGTGGTTGATGAAAATAATTTAAAAATATAAATATTAAATCTAAAACTTAAAATATCAAAAATTTTTAAATGCAAAATCATTGTTTAAAATATTTATAACCAGAATATCGAATTTCGTCATTTTTTTTAATCTTGTATCACACACACAATCTATTTTCTTTGGCTTTGGCAAATTGCATATTTTGTTGAAGAATTTGAATAAAAAATCCTAAAGAAAAGTGAAAAAAAAATTAATTAAAGTGTTTATTCTAATTAATGTAGTTATTTTAAACATTAGTCGTTTAATTTAAAGTATTTTGCCGTAAAAAATTTTATATTCAGGCCCATTTTTTGATGTGACGAAATTCAATATTAAATTACATCGAGAATGGTAAAATTGTCATGGCAACGAAATTCAAATCCACTTAAGATATTTAATTTATTGAAGGTTCTAATTTTGTCAATACTTTTTTTTTAAATATTGGTGTAGAGAAATTATTATTACATTACGCTTATTAGTCGATTATATTAACATTCTTTTTGTTTTAGTGAAACTTTGTTAAAAAAATTAAATATGGGAAAATATTCAGAAAAGACACTACAATGCGCACTTCAAGAAATTAAAAATGGGATGAGTGTGAGATCAGCATCGAAAAAATTTAATATTCCGAGGACCACATTGCAAGATAAAAAATTTAAGAGACACCAACAACAAGTAGGAGCTCCTTCATTTTTAACTGCAGCAGAGGAACAAACTTTAGTAAAATGGATTCTGGATTTAGCTAGTAGAGGGTTTCCAGTAACTAAATCTCAATTACTACAAAGTGTTTCCAAATTAGCTGAAAACATAAATAGGCCTAATAAATTTAAAAACGGTATGCCTGGAAAATTTTGGTATAAAGGATTTTTGAATCGAAATCCGAATATTTCTGAAAGAGTTTCACAAACTCTTACTACAGGAAGAGCCAACGTAACAGCGGAATCTTTAAAAAAGTGGTTTCAAAGTGTTTCAAATTATTTTGAAAATTTTTCGGAATTAAAACAAGTTTTATCTAACCCGGAAAGGATTTTTAACTGTGACGAAACAGCATTTTTTTTATGTCCAAAAGGTAACAAAGTACTTGCCCAGAAAGGATCAACTCATACCTATATTCGTTCGGCAAACGACGAAAAAGAATGCTTAACAGTTTTAATAGGGGCATCGGCAGTTGGAAAACTTATGCCTACCCTTGTACTTTTTCAATACAAAAGAATTCCTGCGAATATTGTAAGAAAAATGCCAACATCATGGGGTATAGGTAGTTCAGATTCAGGATGGATGACTTGCCAAACATTTTATGAATACATTACAAACTGCTTTTATCCATATTTATTAGAAAAAAAAATTGAATTACCAATAATTTTATTTTTAGATGGCCACTCATCACATATTTCGTTGCATCTGACCAATTTTTGTAGAGAAAAAGGTATAATATTAAAACAAAAGAGCAATTTGATTACAACACAAAATAAGGAATATAATGTAAATCAGATCATACCTGAAGAAGTAAAAAATAATGTTAATTCTAATAAATATGAGTTTTTTTTATCAATATTAAATGAAGAAATAGGTGAAACCAAACTTAAAAGTTTTAAAAATAATACAGAATTAAAGTGGACAGGATGCAAAAAAGACGAGAGCCTATTTTATATATGGCAGTCTACTCAAAATAAAATACAATCAAATAACTGTGTTGTATCCGATAATACAACTCAATATAATCAAACTTTAATTAAAAATATATTTGACGATTCAGTCTGGGAAGAGTGCAATAATATAATGGAATTAGTAATTCACCCTGATGAAGAACCCGCATCACCTACAGCACTTATGGAATCATCTGTCTTAGAGAGTAAAAATAACGTCCATGAAAATTCAAGTGAAAAAAATATAAAAATCGATCAGATAACAACTCTTATAGAAAACGATGTAACACAAGTTCCTGAACCTCAATTTATTAATGATGACACTAATGGGACTACATATTCAACGCCTTTTAAAAAAGCTTTATTTTGGCCTGAAATCGAAAAGAGTGGACACAAAAAAGCAGTCAAGCGGAAGCTAACACCGGTAGTTGCTACAGCTGATGAATTTTTAAATTATCAACGAAAAATATATATTGAAAAAAAGCTTAAAGAAAAAAAGAAAACAAAGATTAATGAGGGAAATATAAAAACAGCTTCACTTGAAATAAATGTAAGTGATTACGTGATTGTATTGTACGAAGAGGAAAAGTATCCAGGGATAATTTTGAGTATTGAAAATGATCAAAATTTTAAAGTAAAAACAATGACCATGAGTGGTACAAATTGGCGTTGGCCTGAAAAAGATGATATCCTTGTGTATCAAAAAAAAGATATTATTAAAAAATTAAATCATCCGCTATTATTAAACAGCCGAGGTGTTTATTCTTTTAATGATTTTCATTAAATTTTTTTGTTGTTTTAAATATTTAATTATTTTTTGTTAAAAATGAATTTAATTTATGTTTTGTTTTGAAAATTAATTTAATTTATTTTATTTTTAATTTAAGTAATTTTTTTTTATATAATAAATGGAATGTGATATTTATTTTTTGTTATAAAAAACTGAATTGAATAAAGCAACTGATTTTTTTTTATCATGACGAAATTAGCAACCCGACATGACGAAATTAAAAATTTAATGATTTTGGTGACGAAATTAGCTGATTTTTGGAGATATTTTGTAATTTAAAAAAATATAATAGTTTATAATCTAACTGTCTCCAAATGTTCAGTATAATTTTATACATATTTCAAACTAATAAAAAATAATATTTGAATTTTATACACATCAAATATTTGTAATATAGATCTAAAAAACCAAAGAAGTCTCTTAACATGACGAAATTACCTTACTTTACCTTATAAGACTCACACACTTGCTATTCATGGATGATCTGAAGCTATACTCAAGCTCATCAAAAAAACTGGAACAGCAACTCAGAATTACCGAAAATTTTTCCAAGGCCATCAACATGGAATTTGGCGTCGATAAATGCAAAACCTTCACAATCCGCCAAGGTAAACTGGTTAAAGAGATTGAGTACCAAACATCAAGCCAAGATATCATAAAAGCAATGGATGAAAATGACGTCTACAAATACCTGGGTATGCAGCAGACCAAACAAACTAATCATGTCGAAATTAAGCGAAGTTTACGAAACACCTTCCGTGCACGACTTACTAGCATTATGAAAACATCGCTAAACTCTAAATACTTGTGCAAAGCTATTAACACCTACGCTATCCCATTAATCACATACTCTGCGGGTGTAATTAAATGGAATGCAACTGATTTGGAGGGTTTAGACAGATTGGTTCGTACAGAACTTACCCGATATAGATACCACCATCCTAAACCTGCGGTAGAGAGAGTTAACATCCCAAGGATTAAAGGAGGTCGTGGAATCATAAATATTAAAAGTATGGAAGAAAAACAAAGACAACAAATAACAAAGTACTTCCTAGATAAATCCATCGTATCAAACCTACATAGGGTAGTAGTCAGTGCCGACAACAATTACACCATTCTCAATCTAAATCACAGCAGAAATGATGAAACACCAAATGGTATACAAAACTTGATTAGTAGATGGCAAGCAAAAGAAATACATGGTAGACACCCAAATGAACTAAGAACACAAAATATTGACCAAGATCTCTCAAACAAATGGCTAACAAGAGGAAAATTATTTGCAGAAACTGAGGGTTTTATGATAGCGATTCAAGACCAAGTCATTGCCACCAGAAATTATCTTAAATACGTTGTTAGAGATACATCAATAACAGATGATAAATGCAGAAAATGCTCAAACACACAAGAAACAATACAACATATCTTAGCAGGCTGCAGTGTTATTGCTCAAACAGCGTACAAACTAAGGCATGATAACGTGGCGAAGGTCCTGTATATAGAGTTAATGAAAATGATGGACCTCGAAACTACAAATGAGCCGTACTACAAATATTCCCCACATGCAGTTACCGAAAATAGAAATTTTAAAATCTACTGGGATCGTTCGATCGTAACTGACAATACCATCGTCCACAACCGACCCGATATAGTGATCCACAACAAGGTTAACAAAGAGGTGATGTTTATAGATATAGCAGTGGTCAACAATAACAACCTGAGTACCACAAACACCGAAAAAATTCAGAAATACATACCACTAGGAAATGAAATCAAAGACGCATGGAGAGTTGACGACGTTAAAATCATACCAATCATCCTTTCAACAACAGGTCTAATTCCGAAGAAAACAGCAGAGGGGGTCATAAAACTTAAATTAAACCGGTCAGTTATTGAAAGAATGCAAAAGGCAGTAATTTTAGACAGCTGCAGAATCGTCCGTGAGTTTCTAAATATTGAATAAAAGGAGGAAAACTAACATGATAAATACGAAAGAGGTGAAGTCTATGCCAAAGATGGCCGACCGAGCCTGATCCCCAACAATATAACATCGCGTTGGGGATAGATAAATGTTTCCAGCAAATGGCTGAGAAGTGCAAAAGTCATAATAATAATATTAATAATAGTAATAACAATAATAATAACAATATTATTAATAACAACAATAATAACAGTAATAATAATAATGATAAAAATAATATATCTAATGTTAAGAAAAATAATGCTAACCATAACAGCTCTAATAAATTGAATCATAAAACAAATAGAAATCATAAGGTTAGGAATTCAAAAAGCAAAGTCAGTAGTTACAATAAAAGAACCGGTAAAAACAGTACTAATAATAATAGCAAAAAAGACAACAGAAATGCCAATAACACCCGAAGCAATAATAATAATAATAAAAATAGTAACAATATTCATAATAAAAATAATAATAGTAACAACAACAAAAACAACAACAATAACAACAAAAACAACAACAATAACAACAAAAACAACAACAAAAACAACAAAAACAATAAGTATCATAATAATAACGGTATTAATAGTAATAATAATAATAACAATAATAGTATCAATAACAATAATCACAACAATAATAATGATAATAATAGCAATAATAATGATAATAGTAATAATATTAATAGTAATGATAATAATAATAACTTTAATAACAATAACAATAATATTTGCAATGACAATAACAGTAATAATATTAATAATGATGTTGATATTAATCACAATAATGATAACAACAATAATGTTAATGTGAGTATCAATAATTAAGAGTTAATGTGAATATAAATGATACGAATACCAATAACAACAATGATAATAACAATAATATTAATAATAATAATAATCATAATAATATCAATAATAATAGTAATGATATCAATAGTGATCGTAATAAGAATAATGATAGTAATAATATTAATAGTGATAATGTTATTAAAAATAGTAAGAATAACTATCCTAATTTTGTTCATGGGGATGTTTTCACGGGTTCTTCTTCTGTATTAGCTAGTGGGCAGGCATCTGGCATTTCTAGTAACCCAGCTATTCCTGTAAAATCGTTTCCGGCGCCTGTAACTCAAAGTATTGCCAACCCGCTTCTTCCTCCTATAGTGCGTATGACAAAAAAAGCGGCTGAAGAGGGCGACAGCGTTTACGTATTATCGCGATTTAGAGATCGAGCCGTGTATGACAATGTGAGACTTTTCCTTGCTTATTTACATGATGCCTCTGACAATGTTCATCATGAAGGTAAAACTAGGATAAGTTTGAAAGTCTTTATTCAGAGTGAGGGTCTTCCTACTGAATATGCACATTTATTTAAATTATTTAAAAAATTTCACGAGACTCTAGATGTATCATCTCTTCAAGTTGACAAAGACTTAGAAACATACAGGAATCATATGAAAAGTAGATGGGTTGAATATATACAACGAATGAGAGATGCAAATTATAGATTTTTTCGTTCCTCCGACTCGACGTAATAACTCTAACCTAATCTATCTGACTGATTCTGGTAATAGTTCAACAAGGTCATTAAAACAGCTTTCGTTATATTACCAGAATGTAAGGGGCCTTAGGACTAAAACGAACGAAATCCATAAAAACTCTTTGTTGCTTGACTTTGATGTTTACTTATTGTCTGAAACATGGTTGCATAATTCTATTGACTCATTAGAGTTGTTTGATCACTCTTATGTGGTCTTTAGGAAAGATAGACTTCATACGGTTTCTGACAATGTAAACATACCCAAGGGTGGAGGAGTTCTTTTAGGTTTGAAAAATATCTTTAACGCGTCTGAAGTTAATTTATCTCAATTCCCATCTTTGGAAGTAGTTGCAATTAAAATTCGTTTTGCCAAAAAGTCCTTATTTTTTATTTGTTGTTATATTCCTCCTAACTCTTCGTGTGAAACTTATCACAATTTAGTGGAGGCTGTTGATTACATTTCGTCTCTGGCTAATGCAGAGGATGACTTAATTATCTGTGGTGATTTTAATTTACCTCATATTTCTTGGAAATCGGTCGATGAGGAAAATTATATGACGCCAGCTTATATATCTTCTAATGCTGAAGCAACACTTATTGACGGTTTTAATTCTTATGATTTACAACAAATTTCCAACACTTTTAATTCTAGTGGTAGAATACTTGACCTTATCTTTACTTCTGATTGGGTTAATGCCTTTCACTCTCCTGTTTTCACGCCTTTAACTAAAATTGACAACTATCACCCTCCGATAGGATTTAGCTATAACTATGATAGTACTATAAGCTCTCAGCCTAATACATCATTTAGATATAATTTTGCTAGAGCTGATTTTGTAGGTCTAAATAATTATTTCTTTACGGTGGATTTCGAGGCATTACTTTGTAATATTCCTATTGACGAAGCAGTAAAGAAATTTTATGATGTCGTTTTACATGGTTATGACATGTATATTAAAACGCGTAATAAGAGTATTGATTCAAGTCCGGTTTGGTTCTCAATTGAGTTGAAAAAATTGAGAAATAAAAAGAATAAGGCGTGGAGAAAATATGTTAAGACTCAGAGCTCTGAATCTTATTCTACTTTCATAAATTTATTTTATTCGTTTAAACGTATGTGTGAAGTGAGTTATAGTAATTATTTGTCAGGCTGCTCTTTGGAATTAAAGCAAAATCCCAAATCTTTCTGGAAGTTTGTTAATTCTAAAAGGAAATCTGATCAATTTCCAAACTTTATGACTTATGGTAATCAAACTACAAATGATCCACAAATAATTTCAGATTTATTTGAAAAATTTTTCTCCAGCGCTTATTCGAATAATATTTTTAACATAAATCCGCAAAATTTTGACTACTTTCCCAACTATATTGGTCGACCCCTCCCTGAAATAGATCTATCGTGTTAAGGGCTAGGTATAAGCACTTAACATTTTTTTTCCTTCGCAAAACTAAATTTTTTTATGGGAAAAATTTAACTTCAAGATAAAAG